CGTTCTGCTTGGAATAGAGACAAGAGGGGAGGGAGAGGAGGAGAAAAGGCACACGGAGGCCTTTGTGAAATGGTGTCGCGGTTTATCGATCACGCCCTTTGCGAGAATTCCAGCTAAAAGCCACCCCTCGCCTTCTCGCCCGTGCGAGTCTATACGAGTCGTTTTCGTTCGCGGCGTGTTCGAGGTTGGTGGAACCCGTGTCCTCGATGCGTCCCCCTTTTCCATTTGCATCGAATTACTCGGCCCTCGATCCATTCCTCCCATCGAAATCCTCCTTTTTTCCTCGCATACCGCGGACTCACTACCTGCGCAATTTTAATCCCTTTCTTTTTTGCCCTTTCACCCCCTTTCCCCTTCCCTTTCCCCCCAACCTGTTGGTCCGCGTTCCATCGCGATATTTGGCAGCGATATACGCACAGCGGTAGCGCAAACACACGTAACGGATATCTTCTCGGTTTAAAATATTTTCCATTTGTTTGAAACCGAACGAGAAAAATTAGCCGAATGAAGAATAATTTTTTTGAACGAAAAGAAAAAAAAAGTAGAAATTAAACGAATATAAATAAGAAGTTTCGATAATTAATCTCTTTCGAAAATTTGTCGGAAGATCAAGCGAGGTTACGCTTTGTTTGGTTTTTTCGTATAGAAGAAAAAGAGTGTGCTAGATGGAAAGACGGTTTGACGAACCGAAGCGAGAGTGCGCATGCGTCGATTTCGCGTGAATTCAACGACGAAAAACGAAAGAAAAGGAATTGGACGCTAGTTTTTTACGCAACGAACTCGTCCTCGTCTTTTTAACTTATATCGCGATATGGTAAATTTGCATGCAACAACATTCGTCTACTTTACATATATTCACATTGTGCAATTATATTTAATTACTTTGATGCGTAATAAATAATTTTATTACTCGACGAATTGATCGAACGAGATTAAAGATAACCTAATTAAGGAAGAAAAGATTCTTAAAAATCTCTTTTCGATTCGCGAATTTTTGGATTGGTTCGAACGAATTTGTTGGATTCGTACGATACAAAGGAACGAAAGAACTCGATGAAAGTTAACGACCTAAAATAAGCTCGAGGAGAATAATAATAATAATAATACGCGTTCGTGACGAAAGAAATTAGCATGGAGGGAAGAGGAATGAATGGAAGGCTTCGATTAAACGCTTCAAGGAATTTCACGTGGGAATTACAATACGTCCCAGTTTCATACCGTTCCAATGAGGAACGAAGATTGATCTTGAGCGTACGTAATTAACTCCTTGACATGGTATTAAAATAGCCACGCAACAACAAATATACTGTCTCGTGTGTTTATCTTGCAAGATTTTCGAATCGATCTATTCATTCTCATCAAATATCGACACTGTATCGAAAATTTGTAATTATTTATTCTTTTTTTTTTTTTATTTGTATTAAATTATCGTGAGAAATTAACCGCGATAAATGCAAGATAAATGATATTCGAGCGAACAGAGCTTCTTTATAGAATTCTTGCGCCATTTGTTTCGTCCTTCACGAGTATACACGATCGATTTTGTGTGGCGAGCCTACTCACTCGATCGACGAAACTTTTAGCTCGGCTCGGTGCATGAAACGGCGCCTGCCGACCTTTCTCCTTTTATAACATCGAAAGAAAATGCGATACCGTGTATTTATTTACGACGCTACGCGAAAACAAAACCAGCGTGTACAAGCAAAGGCGGGTTATTACACCATCGATTCGAACTCTCGCATTTTAACGCGCATTATAACGCGCCGTGTTATAGCAAGTGCTATCTTACCGATTAAATCGAATCGAGTCGCGTATATAATTATCGTCGTATCTGAACGTGGTACATATATTTGGACGTGGGCCAATTATTTCTACCGTTCCATTCGTTTTTTTAGAAATCGAAACTTTGTAGAAAGTTCGAGCCTTGTCCTTTTCCTTTTCGACTACTGTTACCGTTGTTAAAAATACATCAGACTAAAGAATAATTTAAAGGTAACCTTCGTCATTCAAATGACTTTACATAACTCATCTTACTCGATAAATTGAAACTGAACACACATATACACACACATACACGCACACGCACACGCGTGATCGTATCGTATCAAACTCACTATTCCGACAATTAAAAAAGATGAAGTATTCAAAGGAGTAATTGACTTCATCAAACCGTGATGATGTATATTTCTTCTTTCCCCGCCCCTGTTTATTCCTCGATTATTATCGAACGATATATCGGGATAGATGGAACGCAAAACGACGTATTTATTTTTAAATTTTTCCACGAGAGATACGATACGACGAAAACGATATATAACTTTTTTTAATAACAACAACAACAACTTTTGACTCGCTTATCGTTCGTCTTTTCGCGATCGAATTTCTCAAATCACGATCGAAAATTAAAAGAAGAGAAACACTCGCTCAAACTTCTCATAGGAATACAACCCAATCCATCGTCACCACCATAAAAAAAATTATCTTCAAAAAATAAAAAACTTCTCCATTCTTTTCTCGCGAAAAAACAACAACAACAAAAAAGAACGAGAAAAGAAAAGAAATGAACGCCTTTATTCGAATAAACTACCGCCACGAGATAGATATGGAAACGCGGCATGAAAACGTGCACAACGTGTACGTACAAGCGTTCCCTCGGTCTCCTTCGGTGTCGTCGCGTGCCACTTCCGTTCTCCATCGAGCGCGCTCGCCGACGACGACGACGACGACGACGACGGTGACGGCGACGACGGCGACGACGGATCGGAGCGGAGGGGAGGAGGAGAGGAAAGAAAGAAGGACGGAGAAAGAGAGAGAGGGAGAGAGGGAAAGAGAAAGATCGTGGAAGGAGTCGATCCGCTCTCGCGACCGTTTCGTTTCAAACTATTCACGGTGGTCGTATTATGCGCGTTGCCTGGCTACCAGCCGTGGTGACGCCGCGACG